AATTGGGCTAGAAAGAACTGATAAACAAAACTCCATTGAGGAAACGAAATCGAATGGGGACTACCTTATCTTAACGTGGAAAGGTAACGGAAATAACCATCGTCCACGAGGGTTGAACTCTGTGGGGAAACTGGAAACAAGTAGGTATTTTATGCTTAAGGCTGACGATCTACTTGGAGAGAGCGGACAAACCCAGTTACTCGGCGGTAACGACAAGGATGACGATAAATAGCAAGCATGCAAATGCTAATGCGTATGCCAAAGTGTATACGAATATGTATGTTCATGTGTATGACAATGAAATGAAAATGAGTATGTAATGCTCATGCTTATGCTTATGCTGACAAAACAGATGAGAGAGGAGACATGAGATGAAATAAACATCTCGACAAGAATACCCGGTGACCTCTGCAACAGTACATCTATTAGAGGATAGGAATAGTTGATGGTAAGACCGAATCTGGCTTCAAAGTTAAAATTTCCCTAGGGAGAAAAGATCCTGACTTCTACATGGGGATACGCTTTCACTGGAGAGTACGATGTCACGATTTCAACTGGGGATCCATGACCTCCGCATGGGGATAAGATGTCATGACTTCACGTGAGGGATTGCTATCATGAACCATAATCAGCTCAAGAACTCTTGGATCATAAACTTCTGGGGATAAAATAAATATCCGCTGTATGGGGAAGGTGTGGAGCTAGACAGCTTCATGGAGATAGTGTAGCAACTTCCTGGGAAAAGTACCTCGGCTTCCTGGGGAAAAGGTATATCCGAATGGGGATAAGATATATCAAACTTCCATGCGGAGAGTTCATCAGACTTACTGGGGAGTGTCGCTACTCGAAAAAATGCATCGCGCAACGACGGGGAGGCGAAAAAGATAGACAGGCGAGCCGCCACCAAACTTTATTTATCCCATGAGGGGAAAGGAAAATATCGATAAAACCTTAAGAAAAGATAGGATAAGATGGTCTCGCAACCATGAACGGGTTCGGAAGCCGGTTATGCGAAGGGAAGGTATTAGCACCCCTCGCATCCATCGTACTCGATGGGAACCTTTTGTTTGTCGATGTGTGAATTTATTTGCTTAAATATTATGCTATAAGAAGTGTTCCACAGGGTAAAAGAAGGGTTAGAAACAGGAAGAGAAGCAACGGGGGGAAGAAGGGAGAGAACGAACTCGGTAGGACTTCGCAGTCCTATGCCTACGTATTCTCAATAGATGTGAGAAAGTCAGAGTCGACGTAGTTCGGGGAACTACAGAATAGGGGGGGATTGTGCTCGCCAAGACATCGCCATCTTGTGCCTACGTATCCTTACTTGAACGAAGTAAAGAATCAGAGCAGCCGTAGTTCGGCCTACTACGGGTGAAAGGTGAAAAAGGGAGCTCGCCAAGACATCGCTGTCTTGTGCCTACGTATTCTCATCTGACATGAGAAATCAGAGCAACGTAGTTCGTGCTAATGGTGTGTTGATGTCTTTTATGGATGATGCTATCGTGCGCATTCTAGCAGTTAGGTGTTTTGCTGCTCGCTCGTTGGAGACTTAGGCATTACCTGTTTGCGGTAGAACGGACGTAACATATCCCTTTTTGAAAGATTGATTAGTTTTCGCCACGCGGGGCTAGAAGTCACATTTGATTGATTGGATTGTTTTTTAGGGGACGAGACAGGTCCTCGGATAGTAACCCCTACGGGTAGTACCCAATTCGTTATCTCAAAGTTTTTGTTATAAAAGGGTGTGGCGAACGAGGCATCTTCGTATTGAAAGACGAGCGTCGAAACCACCCTCACTACAGTGGGCATACCAACGTTCGGAGAAGAAGGGGTCTACACCCAATCCTCTCTCTTTAATTCAACATAAAGAGAGCTTCGTTCTCTCATTAAGTGTTTTTGGTTTTGAATGGTAAGTGCTTTGCGACAGAGAACCCTACGGTAAACGTCAGCACTCGGGATAGGAGAAGGCCTACGCCTAACCACTCCACGACCATTCAAGTTTTTGTTATAAAAAGAAGTTTGAAATGCACTCGGTGCGGGACCGAGGTTTTTAGGTGACAAGGGTTGCGGGATGAAGTCGTGAAAGGAGAGGTGGTGGAAGAAGTCGCGTCTTCGTATTGAAAGACGAGTGTCGAGACCACCCTCACTACAGTGGGCATCCCAACATTCGGAGAGGAAGAGGTCTACACCCAATCCTCTCTCTTTAATTCAATACAAAGAGAAACGATTCCTTATTTAAGGGGTTTGAAAATACACTCGGTACGAGACCGAGGTTTTAAGAGCAAAAGGGGTGGAAGCGTCTTTGTATTGACAGACGAGCATCGAGACCACCCTCACTACAGTGGGCATCCCTACGCTCGAAGAAGAAGGGGTCTACACCCAATCCTCTCTTTAGCTCAACCAAAGAGATGATTTTAAGGAGATGAGATTTGAAAATGGATGGGAAGCGTCTTCGTATTGAAAGACGAGTGTCGGAACCACCCTCACTACAGTGGGCATCCCAACACTCGGAGGGGAAGAAAGTCTACACTTAATCCCCTCTTTTTAATTCAATACAAAGATAATTGAATTTTGAAGATGGTTTGTCAATGCTTTTGAATCGAGTTGGGACAAGTGACGAAGAGAGAAAAGAGGTGGTCTCAGATCCAACATTACTTATCAATAATTTGACTGGTAATCAATTACGGAGGTCTCGTCATCGACCCAAAAGGCAAAAATACCCAATAATAAAAGCGAAATAAAATCTATCTCTAAAATACAAAATAAACTATAAAATCTAATAGAAAATGTTATAAACTAATATAAAAACTATTATATATATAAAAAAAATATACATGGTATGAAAACTGTTTTCTAACTAATATAAAATAAAAATATATAAACATAATTAAAATAATATATACAAAATAATGTTTAAAAACAATAAGTATTTTAAAAAAAACTAAATAATAGTGCATTTTTTAAATAATAAAAAAAAGGAAAAAAAAAAGTAAACACGGGCCGTGAGGCCCAGTTCAACAACACCCAACAAAAAATCAACACAACGCTGATCCAAAACAAGAAAAAAACTTTTTCGATTCCCTTTCTCCTCTGCGTTCTCACCCTCTCCGTTCATCCACTTCAATCAACTTCCATTTTCTATCAAGAAAGATCCCTCTTCTTCACTTCCATCTGGGTTAACTCTGGTTTAATTTCATTCTGATTTTGTGATTAAGGGTTTGTTGAAGGTGAGTGACGAAGATGACTTTGAGTGAGGTTTTATGGAAATGGTTGTTCATGGAATCTGATGGGTTTTCGGTGGAGTTTAGGTTTGAAGTTTTAAGTTGAAGATTTACGGGTTTTGAGATGGGGTTTCTATGTGGAGTTTTGGGTAAAGTTTTGAAGTAATTTTAATGGAGGTCTGAGGAACGTTCGATGGCTTGAGTTTGGTAGTGGAAGCGAGGAGGAAGACGATGGCAATTTGGGGGGTTTAGGGTTTGAAGATTTGAAGAAATCAGAGAAGCGGATAGATGGGAAAAGGGACGTGGTTGTGTGTGGTTTTCGAAGGTGAGCGAGTTTGTTTCGAGGAACACAGAGGCACGTGAAATGGGTTGCAGAAAGGGTGAAAAAATTTGTTCAGTTAACAAAGGTTGAAGGAGGTATTTACTGTTGATTTGTAGGTTTTGTTTATGGCTTGATGAAGGTTAAAGAGTGAGTCCGAAGACTGGGTTTTCGCAGTGACTGGGTTTGTTGATGTTCTGAGAAAGAGAATGATAATGGAAGTTGATGGCATTTTCGCGGTGGGTCAAAGGTGAGCTGAAGTTCGACGTTCGTCAATAAAGATGATGAAGTGTGGGAGGTTTCGAAGGTTTGTGATTGAAGTTGTTCTTAAATCGTGAGGGTTGAAGGAGGTTTGAAGAGGAGGTGGGAGTTTCGAAGGAGATGTTCATGAAGGTTCTGGGCGGAGGATTCTGTTTGGAGTGTCGGTGGATGTTTATGAGGGTGATAAAATGGAAGAACAGGTGCGAGGGTTTGTACGACGATTGTTTGGTGTTGGGCTTGAGATTTTCTAGGTTGGAAAGTGAATGTTTAACGAAGGCGTTTAAGGATTTTCCGGCAAGATTTTCTCTTGTTTTTTTTTATGGAAGTTGGAAAGTTTGAGCGAAGATTTATGGATGAAGATGATGTTTGAGCTGATTGATGATTTTGAGTGAAGAAGAAGTTGAGAAAGGTTGGAGAAGGGGCTGTAGCGGCTAGGGTTCGTTAGACTCAATGCCAGGAAACAAGACAATCCAAACAATACAGATTAAGACCATGAAGACAGGGAGAGTAACAGGATACTTACCGAGTAGGAGCAATACCACCAGATTGTTGATACAGAACACAGGTGAGCTCCTTCTTCAATCTCCTCTTTTTTCAGTTCTTTATGATGGATTTGAGTTGTGAGAGAAAAAGCAGCTGTTTTTCTGTTAGGATTTTTTCTTTTGAATGAGCAGTAACCAATATATATGATGTGAGATTAGGGTTTAACTTAGAGAAATTGTGGGAACTTTGGGTCTGTTCCTCTTTGGGAAAGAAAGTGAGATACTTTTTGCAATGGGAGCAAGGGCTGGAGTTGTGGGATTGAAAACAGCATAATCTTTGTCTGTTTGTAGCTTTTGAATTTGTCTGTTTTTACTCATGCTTTTCACTGTGGTAACACAACAATTTTACCGATACATTTAATTTCTTTGCAGGTTTATCATGATCCTGGAAGTTTGCGGAAGAAGGTGTCTTTCTCAACAGCCATACCTTGCATGGGAACCTTTGTGCAGCTTCTTATTTATCTGTTTCGCGACTCTTGAGGAGACCGCAGGCATGGTTTGTCAGCATCATAACTCACTGAAGGAATATCAGACCGATTAACATTTGATGGTTCAGAATGTTGGTCAGACTCATTATCAGCAAACCTCCTTGACAAAGGGGCCAGGCAATCCGAGAGGACAAACTCGAATCCCATCCTTGCAACAACTTTGATTGACATGTATTCGAAATGTGGATGTCTGGAATCGGCTTTAGCTGTTTTTGATGATATTTCTGATGAGGATGTCGGAGCTTGGAATGCGATGATTTCTGGTCTGGCTTTGAATGGGGATGCCGGGAAATCGTTAAAGTTGTTTCAACAAATGGTTGTTTGCGGAAGTTGCTCTAATGGGACTACCTTTGTGGTTATCCTTACTGCTTGTACACACACAAGGATGGTTCAGGAAGGTCTTCAGTTATTTGAAGAGATGAGTGGAACATACAGAGTTGAGCCGTGTGCGGAGCATTATGCATGTGTTGTGGACCTTTTGTCTAGGGCTGACATGGTAGTGGAAGCCGAGAGGTTTATTGAGGAGAAGATAGGTGGATTTGCAGCTGGCGATGCTAATGTGTGGGGTGCTATACTGAATGCGTGTAGAATTCATAAGAATATTAATGTTGGGAACAGAGTGTGGAGAAAGCTGACTGATATGGGAATAGTTGATTGTGGTACTCATGTTCTTACATATAACACATATAGAGAGGCTGGACGGGATGCAGAGGCAAACAGAGTTAGGAGCATGATTTCAGAAGCAGGGATGAAGAAGAAGCCTGAATGCAACATTATAGATGTGGGAAATGGAGTTGAAGAGTTTCTTGCTGGTGACCAGTCTCATCCACAAGCACTGGAAATGCGCAGGCTGCTTGATTCAATTCTCAAGATGGACAATTTAGAGCACATCTAGCAATGGGTGTAAAGGTAATTTTTAGTGCTGAATCATCTTATTGGTTTAGTATCATTGAAATCATTTACAAGTGCCTATATAGTCACGAGTGTATGCTAGAGTATGTCATTACATAAAGAATTTGTAGATTTTTTATACTGGATTGGCCTTCACACTTGATGCTTTCTTTTGATTTTTTTCTGGCTGAATTAATTTTACGCATCTATCTCTTGTTTTGCAGGTGATGGCTGGCGGTACGGTTATGTAGAGCTTGCCTGGTTTGCTTTGGTGCAGCAGGCTGGTGTGTTGTAGGTGTTTCAGAGCTTGTTTGTTGTTTCCGGCTGTTCTTCGTAGATATTTTCATTGAGCTTTGGAGTTTCTTCGTGCCTGTTGGCACTGTGGAGAGTAGCCGGTGCTTTCTGTGTTTCGTCCAGCAGCAGTTAGCTCAAGATGGGTGGATGTCTGGGAACATGATATAGACAGAGATGGGAAGCTTGTTAAAGATGGTGACCTGTATTTGTCAGAGTTTTAAAACTTCTACCTATAATTGGGAAACTCCGTCCATCTTGGCATTATTATGCCAGGAATCAAGCGGAATTCTTTGTCTCACAGGCTCAAGTTTACACAGATGGGCGCCTTATTTTGACTGCGATGTTCGAGTTTGCGAATTTTTTAATTTTATGCTGCTATTTTTTCTGAGTTTTTTTCTAAACAAAGAACAGTCCTATTTCATCCTTCATTCGGTGAAGATTTGCACTCCAGTTCGGTGGCAGGGGTTAGAGTTGTGGTTTCCTTATCATTTGAGTGCGGCTTGGGGTTTGATGGTAAGCGGAGAGTGCTCATGAAATCAAAATATGAGTTGATGCTGGGCTAAACTCAGGCTGGACATTGAGTTTGAGCAGGGGCAGTGCAGGTAATAGGATTTCAAGTCCGCAGCAACTGAAGTTTTGTCTTATTGTTTAGTAGTTCTGCCAAACTGATGCAAATCCCCACAGGAAAAACAGGCTCCATTAATTGAAAGAATTACCGGACCAATATGCTGCTAACACTCAACAAAACAATCGGACTGCTCCAACCTGATTTCACTATGAACCTGACAATGCAACCCACTTCATAACTAAATATAGCCAGTCCTGCAGATTGGATACTGTAGAATAAGTCTTCACTTGCTGCTCAATTAAGCTCAATCATCCTTTGCAGCGGCTCCTAAGGTATCTGATTCAACTTGAATTGGCATTGACTTCAAGAATTCAAAAGCCTCATTTATAAGACCGTATCTCCCTAGAAGGTCAATAACGCATGCATAATGTTCTGTATCAGGACCAATTTTGATACACATTGGTCATTAATTTGAAGTAGTGAAGTCCCTTTGTCACAAGCCCGTGATGACCACATGCAGTGAGAACGCCAAGAAGAGCGACCTTATCCGGTACTATGCCACGAGAGAGCATCTTCTCAAACATCTCAGCAGCTTCTTTGGCTAGTCCGTGGAATGCATATGCATATATCAATGAAGTCCATGTAACTAGATCAAGCTGTGAAGTTAATTCGAAACATTTAAATGCACTAGTAATGCTACCACACTTGGAGTAAGCACTGATCAAAAGAATTGACAATAGATAAAAAAAAAGTCATGACACAATATCTTAACCGCAAAAGCATGTGATTGCAGTGTTTCGGTAATAACAGAAACATAGCCATATGAACTAATAACACTGGAAATAATCAGTTTATCAGAAAGAAACCCTTCTCGAAGCATCTCTCTAAGAGGCTTCATAACTTCCTTGCCATCACCGTAATTTCCACACCCAACAACCATGGTGTTCCATGCCACAACATTCCGAATCGGCATCTCATTGAATACTCTACGTGCATCGATTATGTTTTTTTTTCATTTTTTTGCATACATGTTAATCAATGCACTAGCCACCAAAATATTCGAGTCAAACGAATGTCTCAGAACAAGACTGTGAATTTGTTTTCCAAAATCATAATATTCCAAAGCATCGTCACTTATCACATTGATCATTCTACTAAAAGTAAACTCATCCCCGTTCGCAACATCCGACCGCATCAAATTGAACATGCTAAAAGCCTCTTCCAGTAAACAATTGAAGGTATAGCAAGAAATCATCACATTCCACATAACCCAATCCCTAAATGGAACAAGACAAAAAAAAGAAAAAACTAACTCCTTGCATTCTCAACGAAACCACATTTTGCCTATAAATCAACAAGAGCACAACCAACAGAACAGTCCAAATCAAATCCAACTTTCACTGTAAAACAGTGCAACTGAATTCCCATCTCAGCATCATGAAACATTCGAGTAATTCTCATTGTCGTGTGATCCAACAACACCGCGAATCATAATATTCCAAGACACAACATTTCTCACAGGCAATTCATCAAACAGCTTCTCTGCATCTTCAGTTTCTTTACATTTAAGATAAACACTCAAAATCTGATTCTTGATCTGACGTCACTTAGATTGTAGTTGAACCATAATCATTCCTCATAAACTGGATTTCTCAAAGCCTTGGAATCAGAAAACGATCATCAATCCATACTGTACATGCTCCTGTCTTGACAAACTTCACGTGAATCTTGCAACAATTTATCCCAACCCTGATTAGAAAACGAGTTGAATCTTGATAATCTGTAACCATGAAACACCTGGCTTTGTCATGGCCTTGACGAAGTGGGAACAAGTAAAATACTTGTTTGTCCAAGATGAGGGCAAACTTCACTTGAATTCCAACCATTGCTACCCTTGACCTGATCACTTTGCTTGACGACCCGATCCCCTGTGGAATGCAAAATGTTATGCAATGCTAATGCTGACGATGCAATATAACATAAGCCAAAGAGGTTGGCCAAATTTTGGGGTAGAACAGGGAGAAATCGACATACATTCTTGGGGAAGGTATCTTGACCTCTTGGGGAGAATATGGCAGTCTCCTGGGAAGTATTTCCTGAGGAAAGTAAGGCAATTTCACTGAGGAACAGATGATCCTACCGAGAATGGGTCTTCAAGACTGTATATCACTCGGAGGATACCCGAAGATGTCTCTGTAGTCTTGAGAGTCACTGAGGATTTATCGGACGGATCCCAAAAGGGTTGTCAGCTTAAAGTCTCGCTGGGGACTATTACTGGGAAGATGCTGGTATGATCTCTGCTGTCTTGGAGATTACCGGCTCAACCCAAAGTGTTGTCGCTTATAGTCTCGCTGGGGACTGTGTTGGCTTAAAGTCTCTCTGGGGACTGTGTCAGCTTAAAGTCTCTCTGCAGACTGTGTTGAGGCAATGGTTAAGATGTAGATTCTACAACGATGAGATTTACTGGGGAATGAAGACCGTCGAGAGTAAAATCCATCGGGTGCATGAAGAATGTCGTGAAACGAAGCTAACTTTGATCTCAATGGACTTTGTCGTAGTCGCCATTTTGAAAAATACAATTCCCCAGAGCACTTGCCTCGTGAGGAAGAGTAATATCAAGAGGATTTTACAAAGAAACACGGAGTCCGATTGCCCCACTGTTTTCAAACTCTTGGAGAGATTCGTCAGATCTCGACGTAACTGGCTCAAATCGACGGTGACGTGAATGAGTCTTCAAAAATAGCTCTTAAGAATGTCAGGCTCGCATTGTTGAGAAAACTGGAAACCATCTGCCTCTGTTTAGCAGGATCTGTGACATCTATATGTAAGTTTCTAAGATATCAGGCAAAACCGACACGCGTGAAATGCTATCCTGAAACTATCAATGCAACAATATATTTGTCTTGAAATTTTTGTTTTTGAAAAAGATATCGCTGTAACTCGTGACCAAAATCACTAGTTAGGATATAAGTTTAATTTATAATGCCGAAATGAATTTTTGAGCATAGCTCGTAGGAGTCAGGAAACGCTATCTCGCCGAGTATGCTTTCAAGAGAATTCCTACTTCAATTAGGTCTTTTAAAGGTTGTATCGTGGCTTGGTTCACGGTTTAGAAACAAAGGATAAAGGCTCAAAATGTTATTTGCACCCACCCATTCTTCTTGATGTTCTCCAATCCTAATTCAGTTAGTTGGATACGAACACTCATATCTCAATCGGATTTGATATGGTCGAGAACTTATCAATGCTTCAGACAATGGCAGTCATTTACCTATTTTGGTGTTCGATCAACACGACTTTGTCTTTATTGGGGATTCTTTATTTTGTTTTTATTTTCCGTTCCCTAACTTTTGCCTGGACAACACCTTTTGGATTTTTGACTTTGTAGTCCAGCGGGATGATCCATTTTTGCCTAAGTCTACTTCATAGGTTTTGACTTAGCGGGCTGTATGTATAATTTTTTTGTTGACTAAGTCGTGTGACTCTTTTGAAAGGCTTGTGTCTGCCCCACTCTTTTAGTAGTAAAGGGATAGCCATTGACTTCTAACTTCCTAAGATGTTAGGGATAGAATGGATCCTCGAAGGTTCGCTCCTCCTTTTTGAGAGTCTGAGTGCTCAATCGATTTAACTGAAAAACTACCCTGCCCCATGTTGAAATAAGGGTTTTAATTGGGAAAAGAAGAAAACTCCTACTTCAAGGCTCAAAGGGGTTAAAGAGGGGTTATCATCCTTATGTCTCCATTGTTTGGGATTTGAAACAATGCCTTACATCATCAGCAGGTTTCAATTGGAAGCATACGACAAGATATTTGACGTTTTTGGTTCATCATCCTCCTCCCAATTCTCTATCAAACAAGAGATCAGGTAAAATTGGCATTATAAGTTTATGAAAAATATTTTTAATGAGTGAAACAAATGGATTTATTCAAGACAAACATGCATTAATTATTCCAAAATAAACAAGTTCGTACATGCTAATTATGCTTAATCAAAGAAAATAAAACATATAAATAAGCCAAATGAACTGTATGACAAGTCCTTCAAAATGTGTTTATGAAGTCTTTGCATCTGAAACCGGCACAATAGTAGTGGTTTCCTCTGGCGGAGCCTCACTGGAAGGAGTCGTCTTGCTTGCCCCAGCT